AATTGAAACTTACCTGCTTGAACTTGATCGGGGTGTTTTGTTAGTTTGATGCGTTTCCTCCTCTTGAGGTCGCCACTGCTTTTATGAAGAGGTTGCCAGGTTTTCACAACAAAACCCGCCCAATTGCATTTCGAGGGGGTCCTCCGTTAAAAATCGCGTTCCGGGGATAAAATACGCGTGTTTTGGCGGGGTTCCCCTGGTAAAATTCGCATTCCAGGGGCTAAATGTCATGTTAGTGGGGTCGTTTTTCAACCCGCGGACATGAAAAACAACCCACGGCAACAGTATTAAGCAGCTCAATTCCGCGGGAAAACCACGGACTTGGCAACACCGGAAGAGGATAGTTTTCTGATGGCGCATCAAGAACCGGTACTTAAGAAAACCTGGTACCGTAACGTTTTCATTTTTTTAGTACCGACTTGGTACCGAAATACCGGGTCTTTTGACAACACTATCCAGGTGTATGAGAGAGAGAGAGAGTGTGTGTGTGTGTGTGTGTGTGTGTGTGTGTGTGTGTGTAAAAAGTGAGGGGAGCTTTAGGTGAAGCTGACCTTTTATAATGTGAAAATGTGAAAATTGGATTAGCTAAACAACACCCTTGTTAAAAGTAATGTGTCATTTTGGATTGTCTCTGTTTATCAAACAATCTCCCTCTTGTCAGACTCGTACATTTCAGAGTGTTAGGGGAAGGAGTAGTTTATGATGACACCCACAGCCTGGAGGTCCACCTAAAATTCCAACTCTGACCCCCAATGTGTCTACCTCTGAAACAGAGTACAGAGCTTAACCCTTAGTAAACTCATGATAATGGAAGCTATGTTTAACAACTTTTATGGAAACTTTAAATTTCTCTGTAAGGATTTCAAATATATTAAGTTATTTAGAGTGACCTCCTGATCCACCTGTTTTTTTAGCAATTCATTTTTTTATGTTTAAATGCCGTCTTTCAAATATTTTATGTCATCTATGCATTTATTTATCGTTAATAATTCATTCTTATTCTTAACATTTTTGAATTTTGATTTTGTAAGAAGTGCTTAATGGAAAGTGTATATTAAAACTGAATAGAGTGTGCAGGAAATAAGGCATATAATATTGAAATTCATTTAACGCCTGTAATCACCAAAACTGCACCACATGCACTCTAAACAATAAATGTGAAACAGAAACAAAATGCTTTACAACCTGATGCAGCAAAATAACTTTCAACAGTTTTATTCTTTCCTTATGAAACAATCTGTACTATGCCATTCCAGCAACCAACATAACGATCTGAAGAACCTATGTGTAACATGAAGAACGTTTTTAACCTCTAGAGAACCAAAAAACCCACTCTGGAATACAGCACGAAGTTTCTTGATAAGAAGAGGGGGTTTAGCCGAACCTGAGAACTATTTATTGTTAAGAGTGCCTAAGGATGTTTGTTCAACGAATAATTATGTGAAAACCCGGAACGGTGTTGTCATATTGTCATATTCGATCATCTCTAAACTATCACGCTGAAGTTCCCCACTAATCACACTGATCGAGCTTTAAAGATGGAGCTTGCTGGAATTTCTAAAGGCGATTGAGCGCGCGCCTGAGATAGTACTTACCACCAGAGCCCGATAATGTTGACTGGACAAAGCAGGATAAAGAAGAGGGCAAGCTGTGTTCTGGAAAGTGGAATCGTCATTGCCAGATGCCTTTCGAAGGACAAAAGATGCTGAAGAACTAGTCCAGAGATGAAAGAGGCTTGTCCTGTGAGAAAGTTTGATAATTTCTGAGGAGATTCAGCACCCCTGAATAATACACGTCCAAGAAGCGCATCATCTGGCGAGGACGATCGCAAAATCCGCTTGGAAAGTGGTCAGCATCTTCATTCTTACTTATTGGAGATCTTCATCCAGCAAAATAAAATGAGGGAAAAAAATCCAGTCAGAAGTGCACTTAGATCTTGATGGAATGCAGTCAAACCTCCTGAACTACTAAAATGCCAGAACTTTTAAAAAGAGTTTCGGTTTGGAATGCAAATAATTCAGTTGTTCTCCTGAAGCGCACAACTGTAGATCTGAGTGCCATGTGCTGAACCTGTGCGCGCGCGCCCTTCTGCGAGTGCTGCAGATCTCATCCGGATCCAAACAGGTAGACGTCTAGAAGGCATTTCGTGCTCCTCTCGTCACGCTTTTTTGCTGCCTTCAGCTGGGGACCATTTTCTCGTGCTGTAAGAAACTCAGAGCTCATCACCCACTCAGTGACGTCGCCCGGGGCTTGAGTCAGGAACATTGTCATACAGGAAAAAACGGTTCTGATCTAGTTTCTGGAGGATCAGGTAGTACACGACACATTATGAATGTCCAGTGCTGTTAAGCGGTACATTTTGTGACAACTTTATAGAACAGGCTGATATTCTCTGTTGAACTAAATGTCCTGCAAATATCTATTGAAGAACTATTAGGCTATTTATTTATTATAAACAACAACAATAAGAAAGACATTTGGTATACATGCTTGATTTATGGCAATATGACCATCTCTGAGAAGTCTACAAACATGTTTAATTCAGTTATACAGTCCAGACAGGGTGAGCAATGGTGACACTTTATTCCAGTAATAGGTTACTTGTGCTCAGGTGTCTCCCAACTTACTCCAAGTGACTTAGCCTTACTGTCTTGCTTCTTCAGAATCATTATCAATATTTTAGGATTTATTTAGTTGTATCAAGACAATCCAAAAATTCTTAAATTCCATTCAGCTTGTGCTTTTGTATTCCAGCCCCCCATTGTTTAAATAATGATTTATGAGCATATCAAATCATAAAAACACAGTTGCATTTAGCCTGTAGTGCATTTAAAACAAAGCCATGACTCTCACACATTTGGCCTGTAATAGCTGTCCTCTCATCAATCATCTGCAAAGATCTGCATTATCACCCTCATTAACTGTCCTCCCAATGTAATGTGTGGCTCTCAAGACAGTTCTTCATTGTGATGTTGTCTTCATTCGCCGTACACGCTCTACCTCATCTATCCGATGGCCAGGGGGTCCCGAATTGAAATCCAAGACCTCCCTGCTCTTTTGAAGTCTCACTTTACTATTGGATTCAGATACAGTGATGTACTGCATCACATGCAGGTACAATCAAAGATAGAAGCTCTGGATCTGTTTTCATATCTCATTTGAGATAGCCAAGAGCAGAAAGAGGATGTGATAGGCTGTTTATCTGTTATCCAGGGTCAGGTCTTTTTTGATTTTCGCTCTTTGTTTTCCCTCCAGCTTCAAAGCAGCAAATATGGAACAGTTTTGTCTGAGCTGCAGGTGTTTTGCAGTTAAATTTATCATTACATAAAAGAGGGAAGATAACCTGCCTGTCTTGTGAGATAGTTTAATTACAAAGAAACAGCAATCAATTCGGGTCTGAAGGCAAATACATTTACTGAAAGTTAGTGCATATTGCATTTTGTACAAAATTGATCAATTTAGCAAAGATGTACTTTAAAAAATTCTAATCAGTTTAATAAATAACATCTAATCACACCAAGAAAGGTTTGATCTTGTTATTCCTATAGTTATATGAGATGAAGAGCCTTCTTTATTTTAAAGAAAGTTTTAAAAAGAACTTTATCATACCCCATCTATCTATCTATCTATCTATCTATCTATATATATATATATATGTATATATCTGCTGCATAATTGGAAACATGGCTTTAACGAAACAGACCGTGCGCTCTTTCTCCCTTTCTCTCTTCATACATGTGTGTGTGTGTGTGTGTGTTTTGTTTGGGAGGAGCGATTCTTCATACTTGGCTTAAACTTTATGGACAATAAAGATCCCATTTCAAAGTACAGCAGGGTGTTGAGCCTGGGGTCTTGGCTGAGCGTTCCTGGGAACAGCCCTCTGAAGACCAGGAGAATATCTTCAGCTGACACACGGCGCGGAAAAATCCCCATGCAGAAGTTGTCCACCATACAGAGCGTGTGATAATACCATCTCTCATTTATTCAGGGCTAAATTTACATTTGATCAGGTAAAACCGATCCGCAACTTTTGCTACTAAAATGGAGATCCATTATTTAGAAAACACTGTTAATTATGATCTCCCCCCTTTTTCCTATTGTTTAACATTCTGATGTCAAACAGGGAGTGAGACAACTCCGTTACGTTAGCATCCAATGCAATTAGAAATCCCATTGCACACAATATTTTTTAAGCATAGTTAAAAATGACGTCCAAATCAAAACCACATGATGCTTATGTGCCATAACCTTTATAAACAGGCCACAGTCATTTCTGGAATCCCCATGAGAAGTCAAGTTCATGAAATTCCTTCACCACTGGCAGTAGAGTTTGTGTTATAAAACGTCAATATTGCTCCACGCTTCTGTGTGTCTGCGAACAGGCTGCTCAGTATGGAGAAAGGACAGTGTCAAGTCATGCGATGACCTAAACAACAGAGGATGGGAGGGGATTCGGCAGACGTGCTGTTTCCTGGAACTCGCATTAGATGAGTAAGATTTTGTCTCTTCAGAACATGAGGGCAGAGTAAAACATGTATAATCACAGCACACCATATAATAATCTGTTTTATGCATTATAATTTATTCCAATAAAAAAAAAAACTTGTTACTCAACACAAGATTTGAGCCATCGTTGAATCAGTGCTTGCTCTGTAAGACTTTTTGCAGAATCAGTTCCTGCAGAAAAGTCCTGCCATTTTACAGATCATGTGCTCATCCTATCAGCAGCAACAGTTTTCACTTGGAGTGCAGTAATTAATTCCAGAAGAAGTTGCAACCTCCAAATGGGTCACTTTTAATACTCTGCAATGGCATCACTTGTGAACTTTGGCCCAATGGAGGGTGTTAGTTTTAGGGAAGATGTCTTCAGCTCTACTGGGTGCCATTTAGCATATGAGTACAGTGTGGAAGGTCGCATTGGCCAGGTTCATTTAACACTATCTTGAGGAATTTCTCAAGTACACTGATGATTCATTTAATACGCTTCACCAGACAAGCTGGAAGATTTCCGATTTTGTGGGATTTTCTACATTGAAATTATACATTGAATTACAGTGAAAATTACTCTAAAACATTATTTGTATTGTTTGGATTTTTATGGATTTTGGTATATTTGGGTTAGGATTGATATAAATTTATATTGTTTACATTTGCATTTTTAAAAATGGATAGATATATTGATTTATATTGAAACATCTAGATGAACAAAACATGATACCATAAAAATGACACATTGGAGTAATGCAGCATGGAAAAAAACTGAGTCGTTGCACGGTCAAAAAGCCACGTTTTCTGGTGAGATACACATTTGCAAGGAGATGAGCCAAGGAGATAATGGGCCACACACTGATTACTGTTGTGATAAACTCTCTGCAAATTAGAATCAGCACCTTTCTTGTCACGCTGCATAAGTAGCTTTTCATCCAGTTCTCTTTCCTTATGTTTACTCAGCTTATAAATGGGAAAAGGACAAGGAAAATCAGCAACGTTTAAAAAAGGCAAACTATTTGAAAACTATTTTAACAATTTTTAACTTCTCAGTAGTGATAGATAGTATTATGATGAAACAGATGTTTCCCTGAACCATCCCATTTATTTAATAGGCACATGGTTTTATGAAGCAAAAATCATACAGCTGGATATGATTTTCATTAAGCCATGAATTTTAGGGGGAGACTTTTTGAACTCTAAATGTGTGAGCATATAGCACCACCATGTGTTAAGATTGTGTTTTGTAGGCAGATTCTGTTACAGTTTGTTGAAGTACACCTGGCTACAGTTTCAGAGACTAGATGGATGTGCTGAAAAATGTGTTAATTTAGTATAGTTCAATTCAAGTTGATTTTAACATGATACTATCAAAAGGAACGGATTTGTTTTAATCACAGCCATTTGCATGCCAACTGTGAAATACTTCCAGGAGTAATAACAATTAAATTTAGCCAAGGAACACCTGTTGAAAGAAAACGTCACCTCTCATACACATGCCTTTATCCTAGCAGCTTGACATGAATATGGCTGATGACAGATCATGACTGTCAGATGGCTTCTGCAACAAAGTCATTCACCTCTCCTGTCTGCAATACAAAATCCAAAGCAGAAATTAAAGTCTCTGTAATGATAAAATCTCTCCTTCTGTAGAGAATGACAAACACAATACTTATATCAAGCAAATTCAGTTTAACATGCCCTGTCGAAGTTCCACAGAAAACCCAAGAGTAGAAAAGCCAACATGTCCTGACAGAGACTTGATATGTTTAATCTGGGACTATAGGCTGATCATGTTTCCCACTCAGATCAGCAGAACTAGGTGAGCTGCTGTGATTTCCAAAGGAAAGGGCTTCCACTGTGATGTGTCGTTCTAAGGTAAACATGCAAATATGCTTCATAACATCTAACACACTCTTGATCTGTTAGAACAAAGAGCTCAATGAGGGAAACGTTCCCTCTGGGGGTTTTGCGGCCCGTAAAGAAATTGTTTCCACTCAGTGTGTTTGTGTCTGATGTGTCAGAGAGATTTGGGTGGGTCTTGTACATTTTCATTCATGTTAAGTTACTGTAGAGTTCAAGCCTCAAATCATATATTTGAAAGAGAATTACTTATTGGAATGACTGCTTTTGTATATAAATTTGTTTCATATGTTCTATCTATCTATCTGCCTGTCTATCTGTCTGTCTCTCTCTGTCTATCTATCTATCCATCCATCCATCCATCCATCATTCCACCCATCCATCCATCTATAAATAAATAAACCCACAATAAATAAATAAAAGTTTAGCTACACTAAACACACTGATGTACAGACAATCAATGAACTAGACCGGTCAGTGATTATTTAAAAATTAGGAAAGCATAAGCAAAGATGCAATAAACAAACAAATAAATAAATGCTCAGGAAGACAAATAAATCCATAATTACAAATTTACAATTGTTTCCTACGGCTGATGGCTTATGACTCAGAAAGGTTTAATCATAAATGTAATCTTGTTCCCTCTCTCTTGACCTGCTTTATGTATTGCAAGGATTAAGTATATTTTTTATGTTAAGTGTATA